GAGAGAGAGAGAGAGAGAGAGAGAGAGAGAGAGAGAGAGAGAGAGAGAGAGAGAGAGAGAGAGAGAGACCTGAGGCCTTGCGAGTAGGGGAGCACCCGAGGGAAAAGGAAAGGCGGCGGGCTGTGTCGGTAACCTCGAGAGATTAGAAGACGAAGGAAGCGCCCGCCTTTCCGTCAGAAGAAGCAACACGCAAAGACGCAAGAAGCGCGCCGAAAGGTACGGGCGTGCGCGCTGGTAGAGGCTCCCGACAATGACCGGCGAACACGCTCCGACAGAGACAGACACCAAGAAGAAACCACCCTGCACGGCGCGGCAAAGCTGTGCGGGAACTGCCCGACAAGCTGTCTAGCGCCACAGCGTGTGCCCGGCTGTTTTCAAGGTATGCGGGCTGGATGGCTAGTTCAGTCACACCAAAACAAGCAGACCCTCGGTCGCCCGCCGGATCAGTCGGGCAGCCTCAGAAAGGCGCCCGACAACGAAGGGGAACACCGAAGGGGGCGGCGGGCCGAAGGCCGCTTTCTCATGGCAGTCACGGCCCTCAGCCACGCGAACTCCTGTGACCGACCTCGCGCCGCCCATTCTGGTAGCCAACCAGAAGAGAACCTCTGCCGCGCCGTCAAGATTCCGCGCACCCACGACGCTGACCGCTATCGCCAGCTGCGGAAATGAATAGAGACACCGACAGGCGGGGAGCTGGAACCCCACCAGGGCTGGCTTGGCGGTGGGATTGGAAATTTGCGAACGCCGTCTCTTTGTTCATAATTGGAATACCAGCTGTATAGATACTGCTGCTCCGCTTTGGTCATTCCGCCTGAGTGGTTCAAAGGGTCCACCCAGCTTTGTCCGAAGCTTGCCGATTTGGGACCACCCGACGGCCGCTGGAGCTGGTTGCGGATTCGCGAAGAATAACAACACGGAAGAAAAGCCACCCAAAACGCTAAAGCGGTCCTCATACCCACAAAGCCCATCAGCCTCGGCCGCAGCTCACCCGATGGCAAAAAATGGATGCTGCTTCAAGTTAGTAGCTGACCCCAGTAAGTATGTACATGAATCACACTTCTTCTCTCTGATGGCATTACTATCAAACCCGCGAAAAGTAAGTATTTTGACGGCGTGCAGCGCGTGGGCAATATTTGAACAGGGGGGCGAACGGGCTCTGGCCTTAGAGAGTGCGGGCGATTCCTCGCTCACACAGAACGAGACGCCAAGACGTCCGACCCGGCGACCAGCATGGGCCGCAGCGACTTGGAAGCCATAGCATGTTGCAGCCTCGGCTTTTAATGTGAGCAGCACCCAGCGTACCTCGTGACGCGTTGGGGCGGCACCTTTCGGCGGACCTTCTCTTGGCAATACTGTTCTCACGGGTCTCGAAGCCGTCTCCAGTAGGTGTCTCGCAAAAGAAAGATATGGCAACAGACCACTTGTCGCTGGCGAGATCCCAAAAAAAGGCAGAACACAATCCTCCCCAGCTGGTATGATCTCAGGAGAGCTCTGCGCGTACCTTTCTCGCGACCCTCTTTGGGGGGAGGGTCCCTCGAGACAAATGGACACAGTTCCTCCAGAGCCAAAAGCGAGGCACCCCCTTAACGCACCGGGGGGGAGATCAGTAAAGCCTAGACCTAGAGCACAGGGGCTACCGGTTTGCGCGGGTTTCCTTTGCTTCAGATTCTAGCGCGGATCAGTTCCGAGACTCCAGCTCGCTTAAGCCTAAGCCCTGCGAGCATTTCGAAAGAAGAGAGCTCGCGCGAAGGCGAAGCTGGCACGCATGTCGCGCGCGAGGTATATCTATATCGAACGAAAGCTGCCAGTCGAGTGAGGAGGTGCCCCAACGTAATACCCAAGAAAAGCGCGACACGGGCGAAGTAATAGACAAGACGAAAGTAGTCTGTAACAAGCGCCCAAGTTTTGTATGATCGGCGGGCCCCACGAGTGGACAGACGAACCAACAGCAACAGGCGCCACGCGCTTCAGCTGCCGCGCCAAGTTTCAGCGTGGCGCGATCCTTCAGACCACTTAAAGCCATAAAAACAACACCCGCCCCCGCCCCTTGCCACAGGGAGGGCCTGGCTGCGTTTCCCCCTTCCACAAAGGGGGGCGCGTTGCTGTTCCGAGTCAATGAGTGAGCCCCGCTAAGATTCAACGCCACGACCCTGTGAAGAGGTGGCTAAGCATCCAATGGGCGCCCCCTGCATACCGAGGCCACAGGGCAAAGCCAGGCCCAGCCTCAAAGGGGAAGGAGCTGGCGCTGCACAATGTTGGCAACTGTGGCGGCAGCCGTTGCTGTTGATCACAGCGCCGCCAAAGTGGCGAGCCCCTGACGCCTAGAGAGGTCACCGCTAGCAAGCCCAACAGTCTGACCGCCGAAGGAAAACCAAGGCAGAGCCAAGCCGCTTCGGTTCCTCTGTCCGTGTCATTCTCACGCGCTCACTTCACCACTCACGCCATGACTGAGGCGGGGCCACCCTCTTCACAACCGGGCCCTTTCCAACACTGCACCCCCCCATTCCCCCCGCAGTGTGGCAGGCACCTATGCCATCCTTGATAATGCACGACCCGGCGACACTCACGCCCTGCCCTCCGCCCTGACGAGCGTCGGCGCAGAGGGTGACTTCTCACGAACCTGAGCACCTAACGCCACCCCCTGCGGGTTGGCTCCGTCTTGTTATCCTCCTCCCTTTCAACAAAGCGTTCACCTAGTGCTCACTGATCTACTCCACCGCCATAGCGTTCGCCGAACTACGGGGCCCCAACCACCTGGCCAACCTTCAGACGAGCTGAGACCACTCGGGGTTTCCTACTTGCGGCTCTCGCTCTTAGTTTTCTCCTCCACTTCTGTCCCCCCTTTTCCATATTCACCCAAAACCTTCAAGAATGACACCACGCGCGCAATGCGCTCTACCATAGGTGAAGGCGATCCACCAGCTACGCCGAGAAGGCACGCACGCGGCCGGAAATGTCTGGGCTACAATTTCGGCGGAGCTGCTTGCGGCTTGCCCGTCTTCTCCTGCGCCTTCGGTTCAGGTTTGACTGCTAGATGCCGCGGCGCCGCGCCGGAGGCGATTTGCTTCCGCCCTCGGTCTCAAATACTCACTGTGCCATTTGCTGCCCCAAGCCCCCTCCGCCCGACTCGGCGGGCATCGACATCGAAAGGGTGCAAGCCCCCGCCACAACCCCTAGGCATAGTGCAGCCGGGGCGTCCCTCAGTAGACAATTTCTCTCCCCCCCAGCCATACCAGGAGAGAGAGGACGCGGCTGGCCACACATTCACCAAATCCGTCGACGACGTCACTAGCGTCGCGTCGGGGCCTTGCGCCGCGCGAATGTGCTCGCCTCTTTCACGCCAATGCACCGCCAAAGCCTTTGCCCTGTGCGCAGTGATGTACAGCGTGAAAAGGTTATACTTTTCGCAGAAGAAAATAAAGTGCTGCGTCCACATTGTCCGCCGATCTAATTGCTTCCACCAAGCCGTCGTCACAAGACCAGGCACCGCAACGTCGAAAGCCCGCCAGTTCGCGTGCCGGATCCATTTCACAAACACGCGCCAAAGCCTATGAACAAACACACAAGAAGCCAAGCCCAAGAAAGGCGCCACGCGTCTCTCTACTTGCTCAAAGCCGCCCCAGCAGTGTGCGCCGCTCCGGTTACACGGCGCCGCGCGACAGCCGGCACAGCCCTTAACGCTTGGACAGACGGCGACGGAGCGCCGGGCGACTGCCTGGCCGTATAACAACGGAAAAAACAAACCACCGAAGAGGGGTCGGCGATCGATCCCCCACCCCGACGACGCCAGAATTATGTGACGCAGAAACCCTGATCACAAACACGAAACAGCGGGCAAGACATCACAAGGAGGGGCGCGTCACTGGCGAGCAAGGACCCAGACCCAAAGCAAGCAACGCCGGATGGACAACACCAGTCACCCTCCGTCGTCACGCAAGATCTAGAACAGTCTTAACCCACAAGACCACAGAGGCGAGGGCAATTCAGAGTCGCTGTCCGTTCGACACCGCCCCACCATGCTGGGCAACAAGTGCGCCGCAGGCTAACACCCTACCGAAAGTCACGCTCGCCCCGCATCGTGTAAGCAATCGCAATTGACGACCACCCGCCCGCAAAGCTCAAGCATCGGCAAAACCAAAAGGCCGCCCGACTTCTAAGCAGGTCACCATGCGCCGGGAGCCTCTCGTCGGGGCGAGGGGGCGGGCCAGGCTGGCGGAAATCCTAACGACTTCACCAAGCAAGCCGACACACAAAGGGCACACCGCTTAGGGCAGTTGTGTGGCGCGGCTGGTATTCATTCTTTTGGCGATGTCCAAAGCGGCGCTCCCAAGGTCCGTAGCTCTAGAGGCATGCGACTGCGGCCGCCTTCGATTAAGTGACGATCCCACAGCGACAGCCCAAGAGAGTGGAGCCGAAGGCAACTCCGTGCAGGCTGGGGCCCAGCTTGCGGGCCCGTTCTCTCTGAGGGTCAGCCACAGCTCCCTAACCCAAACCGGGAACCACAAGCCGAAAGCGCTAAGACTACCGAAACCTCTAACCCCAGCGAGACGTGGCCGCCAGCAAGTGGGACTACTCAGAAGAGAACAGTGCGCGCCCCGCCCTAAGGTCACTCGCCCTCCAGCAGAAATTAATTGAAGCGCGCCGACCGATCCCCGACGAGCGGAGGCGAGGCCGCCGACGCGTCAACCCAAGGGACTCGCCCTGCGCATGTCTTTTGCCCCTCGGCCGCATCCAAGCCATTGCCCCCGCCTTGATGCGGGGCTGGCGCCTTCGGTTCTCTCCTGGCTCACGGTCTGCGCAAGGTGTGCCCGCCTACGTGGGACCGGTCAAGGCCTCACGCCCCCGCGCTTTCACTCAAGCAAAGCTATGAAACTGAACGAGAGGGAGAGAAGCGACGTAGCAGGGCGCTGCCTTCTCTTACTGGATGGGATTCGGCGAGAACGCTATAGAGCCCACCAACCGAAAAAGGAAAGGCGCGCCGCCATTCGAAAGCGTACGGGATTCGCCGCCTTTTGGAATAAGCTGGTGACGCTGCAATGTAATTCCGGCTAGATTTGGAACACCGCCTGCATGCAAGCCATCGGCCTGGCCGTATTCTTCCCATGCCTTCATAAGCCAGCGATAATACAGGGGAGAGACTTCGACATCGTCCTCCAAAATTAGTGCGCGCTCATCGTTGCCACGTGGCTCTGGCCAGGCGTCGAACCAACTCTGTGCCAACCCACGACGCGACGCATAGCACAACACGACTTTGCGGCCAAGAGTCCAGCTCAGCTGCTCTGCGACTTCCTTCACAGCAAGTGCCGCACCCCCATCAACATGGACAACGAGATCGATCCGGCCGCGGTCGTTTCCATAGTCCGCTTCCTGCAAAGATCGAAGCAAACGCGCAAGCGATGCCGACCGCCGCCACGTCAACACATGCAGAGCTAGCTTGGCAGTCGGCACAGGGGCCACGGCATGACGGCTAGACACCCACGACCCGTTGCCACACCGGGGAACGCGGTTTCTAATGCTGAGAGAGACGGCGCCTCCTACTAACCAAAGAAAAAAGCACCCCGACAACCCGACAGAAGTTCGCCACGCATGCGCCCAACCCCGTCCGACAAAATCAGGCGGACACCGCCCTGCCGCCACACCTGCCAGCATCATACTAAATCCTGGGCGAAACTGAGCAGGGGAAAGTCACACAGCACCAAGAACCAAACGGCGAAAGACCAACGCGACACCCATAGAAAAAACGGCGACGCAGCGGGGCCTCTGCAGACCACCACGAGAAATTCTAGCAACAAGCGGGCAGCAGTCATGGCAGCAGCATGCATGGCAGAAAGCCAAAGAAGAGCACGAAGGCGCGAAAAGCATCGACGCGGCGCTCCGGTTATTAACACAGACTCCAAAAGCGAACAACCGCTGAGGCCTGCCCTCTGTCATGGCCCACTGGCTGCGAGACCCCCACGACTTCGCCCCGAACACCTGCCCGAGTGCCGCAGCTGCTGCCTTGCTTCACTTGTTGGGCGTGCCTGTGAGCCTTATAGCAAGATGCTGCGAGTCTGCTGCCCGGAATGAGAAGACTCAGCGACGCAGATGCCAACACGCCTGTTCATTCACATGCCCAATGGAGGTAAGAGAAAGAAGGCAACAAGATAGGGAATTTATCAAGCCTGCCAGACAAAACACACTGAGACTCAAGACAACGACCACGAAAGGGAAAGACTCCGCCCAGCTCCCTACCCGGGTGGCCTTCAGTCTTACTGATGTAGCCAGAAGGGACGAACAATACCAAGCAAGCCCAGGGGGACAACCCCAGCAACCCCCGTCCTTTAAAAAGTCGCTAAGTTTCTGCTAATTCTCCCGGGCGCAACCACCTCAGAAGCACCCGCGACACTGCTAACGACACCCACCCCCTAGCCAGCCCTACGCAATACCCATCGGCCACACCTCCAAAAACACGACCAGCCGAGCAACAGACCGCCCGTAGGTGCAGACACCACAGCCCTACCCCTGCGCAGACCCTGCAAAACCCGGCGACCCAATAAAAGAACACAACCAGCGCGAACCATACACGGCAGACGGCCCTCTCGTACGGCTATCCCCCCACCCAGGACCACTCTAAGCCGGGCGCTACCGTGTTGGCTAATTTAGCAGAAACCGGCGGAGTGCACCGTGGGGAACCCGTTCAACAAGTTGCTAAAAAGCCGCGGCGCTAATTTGATTTTTGGGGTTCCTCGCCACCCCTCTAAAATTTATCTAGTTCGTTGCTCTAGTTTGGCACTCTAATTTGCAGCCCCCAATCATGCGCAAAGACACGCAGACTTTTCTGGTGCAGAATTAGAATACCAAACTAAGGCAACGAACTAGAGGATTTTCAGACGGGTCTCGAGACCCCTCCAAAACAATTAGAGTCACAGACTAGCACGGTGCTTCGAGTAAAAAGGCAAGACTTCCCGGCAAGAAATCCCGCCGAATTAGAGGCGCCGAATTAGCGTGCAGGATTAGCATGATTTTTAGCGCCCCGGATTGGCATGAATTTTAGCAAAAAAACCAGACGTCCCGAACACACCCGAGCACGGCGCCAAGCTGACAGCCGCCAAGTCGGCCCAAGCAGTCTGAGTAGGAGACAATCGACCGACATCACCGCAAGGCCACGGGGAGCCGACGTGCCTCCCACCATCACACGACTAAGTAAACCCACCACACGGGAAAAACCATCACCACCACAAGCAGCCGACCAAACTCACACCATGCGGAACTCCTGCAAAGTTAGAGGAGTTGACTTGAGCGGAAATTTAGGAACGAAAACCGCCCGAGCGTGTCCTCCTGAGCAAGCAGAAAAAGCCTCAAGCTAAGTTTTTGGCTTTTCGTTAAAGCATAAAAAACCCCCAACCCTCACAGTTGAAGCAAAGCGACAATCTCTGCCGTCGTCATGATGCCACGCAGCACGCCTCTCTCGTTTTTTTCCAAACAAGCAAAAGAGCGGACGCCAGGCGCAGCGAATGCCGTATGGGGCAGGGCGCTGGGCCAGCATCTTTAGAAGGCAAAGCCGTGGGGCAAAAGAAAAGAAGACAAGGCGGGCCCACAAAGAAGTTGCCAAGGGGATCGAACACCACACAGCCAGGCAGACAACATCAGCCCCCCCGCGTGGACGCGGCCGCCTTGCCTACAACTGGCTGCCAAGCCTATTGCGCTGCAGCTGCGTGCCGTCAGTCATCAGAGCAAGAGCAAGACACAAGCCGACGCGGACCCACCTCGGACACGGGCGGCGGCTTGCCCAAGCTGGCACGCCTTGCACCTGTATTGGGGCCAAGCCCCAAGCCCAAGGATTGCCCAAGGTTGAGGCCTTTCTGTTCTCCTTGTGTTAAGCCCGGCGCCCCATCGTCACTCATGCGCCTTCGGCAGAGCGGGTAGCACTTTCCCCGCCCCAAGCTGCTTCCCTCCGCATCTCATGGCCCCCCCGCCCGTAGCGAGCTTCGCTCCTGTCTCAACATGGAGCACTGCTAGCCTGCGGCCTGTTTCTATTTTTGTGGCCAGCCACAGTCGGCGGCCCTCTTCGGGTTCCGTGGGTCGTGAATAACACCCCTGGACAAGGCCTGGCGCGTGGCTTGAGGTTTTCGCTGTCTTTGAGCGTTGTTTTTCGTGCTTGGAGGGATTATCGCCAGCGGCTATATGCGGTCGGCGAACTTCGCTGGGCTTGAAGGCTGGCGCAGTCGTCCTCGCCTTTGGCTGTCGTCTCGTCAGATCCTCTGGCCAATCTGAGGACACATGCTCTATCTTTGAGCCTGGGCCCACTGCTCGCCCCGCGCGGCTTCATTTGATTTCTCACCCCCCTGGGCTTCGGTGGTGGGTTGGCGAGTATTTTGCTTCGCGAAATCGATGCGCTTTTTGTTTCGAAACAAGCTGAAACACACTGCCCAGAATCGAAACCCACCAGAACGACCCACGCGGCAGCCTGTAACAGTTCAAAATACACCGAGACGACAGGCGGCGCAGTTCATGACGGTTTGGGACGGTCCCTAACGATTTGAAACAGCCCATGACGATTCCAAACGACCCGAGACGCGCTGGGGCCTGTCGCGTCGCGGTGCTTTCTAGTGCGCTAAGCCGACTGCGGGGAGGCTTTTGCCATCGCCAGAGCAATCCAGAGACAAAGACAATTGCACACCAATGGGCGCCAGCATGTGAGACTACCGGCTGTGGCCGTTTTAGGTTCTGCCCCCTTTCTCCGTGTTGTCACTTCTTTCCTCTCGCTCTTGCTCCTCTGAAGTGCCAGCCACCTGCCTAATAGAATAGACTACGCGAGAGGGTATCCGCCTCGTGCTCGTAAGGTCTCACCTGGGCGCCGCTTAGGTTCTCTCGCTTGCTTTTAGTCTAGCTAGCTTAAGCGAGAAGCCGCTCGCCATGGCCCGAGGTGTTTCGGGTTGGTGCCTTTTCCCGAGTTCTCCTCCAAAATCTTTCAGGTGCACAGCCCTCAGAGGTATTCGAGCGAAGTAGCCCGCGTTGTTTTGTCGCCGATCTCCTGGGCAGGTCTCGCCTAAAACTATACGCCTCTCAGCATGGTGTGAGCTGTTCGACAGACATGCGACAAGTCAAGCGAACCAACCAAGAGACCCACCACCATCCAACCCACACCATCCCCAAACCCCCGCGGGCTGCCCCCCGTGCGTGGGACTTACTGAACGCCGTAGAGCTGTTTCGTGACGCGTGACGCCCACCGCGTCACGCCCAGAGCTTCGGGGGGATGAAATGTCTGCCCTCAATTTCAACCGTCACGCAGCACGCAACAACGGGCAGGAGGGGCTTGATTTTGACGAATCTAGATTATCGCCAACTTATATGAGGCCCGTGGATCCTTGCTAGCTTTGTGGATCCTTGATAGATCCGCGGATCTTCGATCGCTCGGCGGATCTTACTCTGATAGATCCGTGGATCCTGGATAGGTCGGTGGATCCTTGATAGATCCGCGGATCTTTGACACACTCCGCGGATCTTTGACACACTCCGCGGATCCTTGATAGCTCCGCGGATCCTTGATAGATCCGTGGATCTTTGATAGATCCGCGGATCCTTGAGAGATCTTCGGATCTTCGATCGAAAGATCCGTGGATCCTTGAAAGATCCGGGGATCCTTGAAAGATCCGGGGATCCTTGAGATCCGCGGATCCTTGCAAGATCCGGGGATCCTTGAAAGATCCGTGGATCCTTGAAAGATCCGTGGATCCTTGAAAGATCCGCGGATCCTTGAAAGATCCGTGGATCCTTGCGAGATCCGTGGATCCTTGAAAGATCCGGGGATCCTTGAAGGATCCGCGGATCCTTGAAAGATCCGTGGATCCTTGCGAGATCCGTGGATCCTTGAAAGATCCGGGGATCCTTGAAGGATCCGCGGATCCTTGAAAGATCCGTGGATCCTTGCGAGATCCGTGGATCCTTGAAAGATCCGGGGATCCTTGAAGGATCCGCGGATCCTTGAAAGATCCGTGGATCCTTGACAGATCCGCGGATCCTTGCAAGATCCGTGGATCCTTGAAAGATCCGGGGATCCTTGCAAGATCTGTGGATCTTTGAAAGATCCGGGGATCCTTGAAAGATCCGTGGATCCTTGAAAGATCCGTGGATCCTTGGGAGATCCGTGGATCCTTGAGTGATCCGTTGAGAGAACCGTGGACCTTCGATCGCTCCGCGGATCCTTGATAGATCCGTGGATCCTTGGTAGCTAGATCCGTGGGCGGCTTCGGGGCGACGCGTCACGCATCAAGGAGAGCGACAAGAATCACCCTTATAATAGGGGGAAGTATGCGGTGGGACTCATTTGGACAGCTCTACGGCGTTCGGTCCACCTTACGGGCTGCCCCCCTGCGCGCGACCTCGCTGACCCATCTGAGCGCGCCCATCTTACCCGCCAGCACCCAGAGAGACCAAGGAGGCCACAACATTTCACGGGCGCCGCCAGAGACCACCGAAAAGCCCCAATAAAATGCCAGAAAAGTCGCTGCAAAATGCCAGCAAAAAAACGGCCCGGCCTGCAACACCCTCAGAAAAACTCAAAGGCGTGCGCAAAGGCAAAGCAAGCGCAAACAAAGTGCCCAGAAACAGACCAGCAACGACCAGCAAAGAATCAGAGAAGCGCCCAAGCCTCCGCTGAAATAAGTCCTGCCACGAGCTCGCGGGCACTTTTCTGGGGTTTTTGCGCCAGTGTCTCACTTACTTACTATCCACGTCGATAGATACACGCGCGCGCCACCCTCGCGTGGCCCGTGCTTTCGTTTGTGTAAGTGTGACGTGCCCGCGGGGGAAAGCCTACAGCCAAGGCCAACGGCTGCTCCATCCCTCCTCCGGGCGCTCTTGTTCGTCCACAAGTCCGTGCGTTCCTGGTGCTGCATTACCACTCAAGCCTGAGGCCGCACTCGATCCCGAGGGGCCGCGCGGCCTTTTCCTGTTTTCTTGTTGTGTGAAGACTCTACAATGAGCTCCGCAAGACTTTGCCAGGCCATCGCCCGGGTTGAGATAAGAAAAGAAGGCAAGCCTTCGCCGAAGGGTTCAGGCGTTGGTGGCATCAGCTTCCGCCGGACGCCCTTGCGCTATCGTCGCGAGGACCTTTCCTAGCTGGTCACGCTTGCACCGGTCGCGCCCCTCGTTTAGAAACCAGTGGCCCCAGCGCTGCATCCGAAGGATCTTGCGCTCGTTCCCTACGATCCAATTGTTCTGTAAAACATAGAGTGGCAGTCCGCGCTGTCTGCACTTTTTGCGATAATATGCCGGATCCTCTTTGGCACCATCATCGTACCAGCGCCCGCGGCATGCAACCAAACGCCTTTCCCGTTCTCAAATCAGTGAAATTTTTTCAGTCCACGCACCCCAGTCACCACACAGTGGCGAGCGCGGCTAGCTACTCTGCAAGAGGGCGCCGACCAAACAAAAGAGGACACGACTAAAGTGAGGGCTGGCACAAGCTTGGGACGGGGTGCGGGGCCGTGGAGAGTCAGGGGCCTGCAACTGAAGAGGCGGCGCTTGAAAAACACGAACGACGTGACCCGGCGGCCGTCTACTTCTATGCGCAGCGCTGCAAGCTCCCAAGGGGCGACCCGCCAGGCACTAGCTACACACGCAGAACCAAGCGCCGCGCTTGGTGCTGCCCTGCTCCCTGGTTGTCTTGCATGTGCATCACCTCCCTGCGCTTGCTCTTCCAATGGCCCACCCCGCTCGCCCCTTTTGTGGCACAACAAGAAGAGGGCCGCCATCAGTGTCGGCAGGTGACGCGGCAGAAACCCCAGCAGTACCAACACCCAGCCCACCAATGTCTTCAGCCTCTGCCGCTTCCGCTCTCTCCGCTGGATTTGCATGGAGCCGCAGCACCCTCTTGGCGGCCGAATGTCGCCAAGCCCAGAGCACAGCCAGCCCAATCGGCTCACCCACGTCGCCACACGACACACACCAAGCCACCACGCTCAAGCCATCGAAATTGGCCGCAAAGCTGTGAATGCGCTGGCGCGGCGCGCGCCTCTTCTGAGCTGCAGCGGCTCACCCTGAGGGCTGACTTATGGATTCGACCCGCCGCGCCCGGGGCTTGGGTCCTCACCTCTCGACGAAATCAACAGCAAAGGCATCGGCTTGAAGGCGCTATCTATGCCCGCACGATATCGCCGACGGAGGCGACACCTGCATAACGAGCAAGGCGCGGGCATCAAAGTGAGAAACTGCGGCCACGCCGTGCGGCCCGGCCGCCTAGCTCTCGGGGGCTTGCCGTCTTGCGCGTTCGGTTCTCCGCGCCAGACCAGCGACCGCAACCGAGGAAGCACCGAGATCGACGCCGCGTCGAGAAGAACAACAGAAAACAACCACGGCCAAGGCCGAGCGCTTTCTTTCTTGCATGGCCTCACACCCAAAAAAGGCTCCAAAGATGCAGCCTCCTACTTGGGCCAAGCGATTTGGAGACCAAGACCAAAACGCTCCAAAGGCTGACGGCTACACCCACACACTGGAAGCAGGCGCCAGACTTCTCTCCGCTGTCCGCTTCCAGGGCCATGGGATGGGGCCTGCCTCAGGTTCCGCACCTGGACCGACCAACGGCCTAGACGCTGCCAGCCCGACGGGCCTGGCAACAACTCGCGGGCAAGGTTGCCACAGACGAGCAAAGAAACCCTGGAGAGCAGCCCGGGCGCGGGACAGCGCCGGCCCCTTGTTCGGGTAGTTCTTCGGCAATCAGTGGCACAACCCGAACCGACACACGGGCAAGAGGGCGGCCGCCGGCGGTGCGGTGTACTAATAAATGGAACCCTTCTTGGCAGTTTCGTAAGCTTTCACTTCTACCACCCCCGCTGTGGCCACAACCAAAGAAGACAGACTACCCGCGGCAGAGTCAGACTTTCGGAAGCTGCGGGAGAGACGGCGGGGCAGGGTGGCCCCTGCGAGTAGATTGGTTTTGGGGAGAGACCGTCCACCGGTGAGGCAGGAGAAGGGCGGGGACTTCAGCCACTTCGACTTCTGACTGTGAGTTAGCTAATTGACCACTTACCCTCCGTCGCTAGCCATCTACTTAGTAACAAACTACAAAAAAGTTTCGTAGTATGAGAATGAGAACAGTCCTCGGCGGCATACGCTGGGATACTTGCAAGAATCCAGTCTGAACGCGCTGACGTTCAGGTCTCGCCGCTTAACTTGCTCGCTGAAGAATTGCTGCTCCCCAGTTACAACTACGTCTGACGTCAGAGCCCGACCCGCGTGCCTTTTCACTTCTTGCTCGCTACTCGCCAAGACTTCTCGCATAATGCTGACGACCTTGCTCGTTGCCTGAAGTCGCAAGAAACCAAAACCGAAAGTCTCCGCGACCCCATCAGAAAACCCGACTACCTCATAGGAACGATCGCCAAACACCCTATCAGAAAGAGCATTCCGCACCCAAACGGCATCGGGCTCTACGATGAAGACGCTAACTCCAGAACGCAGAAGACAGAAGACGGACCGGACACGATGCACCGTCGCGACCCAATACCCCAAGGAACCATAAGCCCAATCGCGCTGATGCTCGATGGGTGTACTGCTCTGGACAATTTTCAGGCCCCACATTCCTGCACTCTTGGCCCACTTTGTCAGTGAGGCATGGCTTTGCACATCCACGACAAGAAGGGCCGACGAGTGAACGCCATGCATGCCTGCGGTATTGCATAGCCAAGACTTTAACATTTCGACCATTTTCTCACCTGACGCCTCCATATATATCACTGGTTGGTCTTTAGTGACAAAGCCACTCTGGATCGCCAATCCTGTGCGCACAATAGCTGCGATTCGTGATGGACATTGCTCACCTGCTCCTCCAGCGCGAAGACGTCCAGGCCCGGGGCGCGCACGAGATTCTTGCACGGCTTGGTTTACATCTAAACGCAACGCGGCGACGGTCGTCCGCGTTGAATTTTCGAGGCGCCGAGCACCAGCGCGGCCCGGCTTCCTCCGCGTCAAAGCGTGCACGCATGCTGACACAACTCCGACATCACACGAGGACAAATCCACGAAGGCAGAAAACTGCCAAAACCTGAGAGACAAAAAACACAAAGCGCACCGCAATACCAACGACAACACACCACACACCACAGAAATACCAAACGCCATCGCGCCAAAAATGTCGAAGAGACTGACTCTCAGACAACGCGAGCCCCCGCACCGCGTGCCAAGAAAACACTCGAGCGGCCCAATGAAGATGAACTCTGGCAAGGTTTTACCACCTCACGCCCGCGGCGCTGGACAAGGACTGCCCACCGCCATGGGCCCGCGCTTGCTACACAAAACAAAGAGGGCAACCCACGTCCCATATGCCTGAAGGCCCAAGCGAATGCCCCGCGCCCGCCCGAGTGCGCTGCCCTGCTGAAGCGACGCCGCCCCCAGCGCTGTGCCCTTCGAGAAGGCCGATCGCAGCAGCCCTCTAATACGGGAGCGCCCCTGTTTCGAGCGCCGACCCCAAGGCCCCAGTCTGGCTAGCTCATCGCCGAGCCCGGCGGCGTCCAGGTGAGCGATTGGGCCTCTGCACGCTTCTACTAATTTCTTTCAAAATCGCTCTAATTTCTTAGGCTAGTTCGAATTTTGATTTTTTCCGGACCCTGATGGGAATCGTTTCAGTATTTTTGTGATAGGAGGTCTATTCTTCTAAGAAAGGGTGCAAAAAAGGGAACAACTCGACGCCCCCGCTCAATGACCCACGGCCCACGGATCTTGTGCTGGTCGTGGTCACCAAATACCAGCTCCATTCAGGTAGAACGCTCTCCCCGAGCCTAGGCTAGTATATAAGAAGTTGACGCGCACGCAGCTGCGTGGTACTATCTGAAGAGCCATAGCCTTAGAAGGGTTGGCGCGAGCTCAGAAAGTTTTCACTTTATCCTATTGCTGTAAGTATCCTGTCCTTTGACGAGCATGCTCAGGCAATTCTGAACGCAGTGCGGCCGTGGTCTATGAACAGCTCGCCAGACGTCCCTCTTGCCTACACTGGCCTGCCGGTGAGTATTACAAGCCATCCGGCCCTCCCTCCCCTATGTTTTTGCTACAAGATATCCATCTCCGTTCCATTCCCTCCGCCTATGTGCTACAAGATCATATCCAAGAAAAACCACAAGCTACAGGACGTGGTTAAGTAGTGCCCCTCTCCGAAGACCCCAACGCCAAGCAGTCAAGCTCAAACGGCCGCAAGAAAATAGGTCAGCAACTCAAACTTGTTGGCGATGATTGCATTAAGGCAGAGCACAGGCACACTCGTGCACGCCTTTTGCGGCCCTGGGGCTTGACTCGTTCCAGACGCCTCCCCATTGGTCACAGACCTAGCCCAGCTGGGGCAGGTTTTAGCACAGAGACAGGCAGCTTGATGACAGAGACAGGTCGTTTTAGTACAGGGCCAGATTTTATTAGTGCAGACGGGGTTTAGTATAGGACAGCGGCGAGGCCGCATAGTCAACGCCGATCAGCTGCCTCAGCTCCAGAACTAGAAGTGAGAGCAACGATCCCTACCACGTAATTCATGGCTACTCCCCCTCTCCATCATAAAATCCCGCACCTGAGTCACGAGTGCCCCCTGCTTTGCCTTTACGCTAATACGCCGACCGAATGTGCTGAACAACACAAGGAATTATCGTAACTCACAGTAGGTGTGCGTCAGCGTAGTTGAGGTTGACTAGGTGCACGCACCTAAGCGGAGCACAGCAATTACGAATGGGGCGGGACTACAACAAAGCATGGGCGTTATAAATTTCGTTTTAAGTCCATAAATTTGGATTGACATTCTCAGATAAGCCTACTAAGCTTTGAGAAAGTCAACCAGTGCAACTCAGTGAGTCACTCTGCTCCTCTGCGCCTTCCCTGACTCAGGAGTGACTTGCCTTCTGTAGTTTCTTAGTATGTCACAGACTCCTCATCACAGATAATTCCATATCCTTTCCCGCCTATAATGACATATGCCAGGTATCTACAGCTACTAGAGTACGTAGAAGAGTAAGCAAAGGGCATCGCAAGTGAGCTAAAAGCGCCTTGCTCACTTCGCCTCTTTATCTATCGCTTTTGCTACAAGGCCCAGCCCCTGCTATTTTCACGCGGCAGCGCCTCACGCTTGTTGAGGCGGTCTGTTGTTGTGCCTCCCCTCCCCGCTCATTTGTCAGCCCGCCCTTTGGAGCTCCAGCCGACTTGAGGCCGAGGCGCAACAAGCTGGACAGTCTTCGGGGGAACGCGCTCCGGGAACATAATTATCCTGCTGTTTCCACGCTGGACAGTCTTCGGAGGAACGCGTTCCGGGAACATAATTATCCTGCTGTTTCCACGATTGCCCGACCCCCTGTCGCTCCTAGAGCCCTCCACTTCTAGAAGCAAGAAGCCCCTCGGCTGCATTCACCACTGACTGAACATCGAAAGCAAAGTAAGCGCCTTTTTCCAATGCGTGCACCGCTTTGTACTGCCGACCAGTCCAGGCCGCCAAGTTCATGTAAATGTTTGCCACCGATCGCCAACGAACCGGCGGTGGATACGCCGTAATCTCCACCAGGCTGCCTCCCTCCGGCAAGAAAAAGGCATGTGTCAAGGCGGCGCCGTGCATTCCTATGAGAAGGTCGCAGCTGTGAACTTCCCGGATCGTTTGTAGCTCGGTTTGGTCCGCAAAATCTCTCACCACAACTTCTGCACCTGTCGCGCTTTGCAAGCCCCGCACAATTGAGTCGAGGGCCTGTCCTTCAAATTTCCTGGTCTGGCTGCGCACTGTAACCATGATCTTCTTCCTATGCGCCGGCCGTTTTTCTTGTGAAGTGTCGATCTGCAGCTGATCGATGATACGGCGGCGGTACTGCGTGGCCAGCGTGTTTTTCTCCTAATTTTGGAAGAACCAGCTAGCCATCCTGAGAGGCGTCCACCGTCTGCCGGCTTTCTTTGTTTTGGAAGTCCCGGGTCAGATCGTCTGTCTCTCACGCGATGGCGGATGGATTTCTGGGAGCCTTAACGAATGTCGAGATCTGGCTTCCATGTCTGCGTCAAGAGCTCGCCCTTGCAAGCCTTCATAGGGATAATCACGGAGCCCTTGAAGCACAAGCTGGCGCCTTTGATTGGATCACGATGCCCTGGCTTTGTCAATTCGGACCAAAGCTCCATCAAATTCTTTGAGATTTGTGACGCGTTGCCATCGTATGGGACGGCTCCACCGATTTCGACGACGCTGGGCACGCCATCCTGCTTACCGGTAGTTTTTAGAACGAAAATTCGGAAATCCGACAGGCGCCTGCCCAAGACGTCAACGCTTTGAAACATGGCGAAGATTTCCTCGAAGTTGTGATATACGTTTTCGAAAAATTCCTGCCTGGGGTTCGTGATCAATATGACGTCGTCCTGAATCGACTGACATGAGGATAAGGGTGATTCAGCGAGGAAATCGGCGTCATGGGTAGTTGAGTTCGTCAGTGACAACCCAAGACTGTTGAAGAGTGCCAACACTGCAGGTGGGCTGCAGCCTGATCATACGCGCATCAGCTCGCACCCGTGCGCCTTGGAACTTGGCCATAAGTAAATTCTCGCCACACCCTTGAAGCTCCGCTTCATGCGCTTGATAGATGACTGGCGCAATGACAGCATCGGGAGGCTACCTGCTTACTCAGCGTACGTATACACTTTAAAAAACTAGAAGTGCTGCGCGCCAGGAGCTCGCACGCTATGGGATGGAGCCAGGACAGCCCGCCTCTAGCTTCTTCAGTATGAGTAAGTAGTGTCTCCTGGTCATAACGGCCGCGTCGTGCCTCATCGCTAAACACAGGCTCCGAGCAGATCCACGCAAGTGCGCGAGAATTCTCTCCCCGTCTGGCGCAAATGACCACGCTGTCAGGAAAGACTTCCTCGAGTGGTCAACAAGAGAGAAGGGCACACCACTTGCGACCGCCTGGTCAGGCCCTGTAAAAATCGGACTCGACTTTCTAGCAGCCACCGAAGGAAAAGACCCGAGCTCCGACAGGTTCACTCGTCCAGTAAGAAGCAGAAAAGCACGCAGCCCCGGGAACTTGCACTTCATGGCGCCCAAGCAAGCAAAGCCTCCGTCGCAAAGCCTGCGAGACAACAGCTGGGGACCCCAGCGCCCACAACTCTCAAAGTAAGCGCTACACACCACTGGCAACGCGCCTGCGCGCGCTTCTTCAACATTAGAGACAACGCGATACGATTTTGGTGTCCTCGTCGTTCGGCAGCAGCGCCATCCGATAAAGCGCAGGGCGAAGACATCAGGAAGCCCCTTGATCTACCCCCGCCTGCGTCTCCAAATCCCGCTGCCCATTTCCCCCCGAAACACACAAACCAGAGCGGCCACGCAGCCAGGCAGCCACGGCTAACCCGATCGACGAGGCGAGGAAGCCGTCCGATCAAAAACGAAGGGAGAAAACAAACGAGCTGCCGTACGTTTGGTGGGTTGCGTTTCCGCATAATCACGCCCCAGGCGCCCCAAACTTACCACGCAGCAAAGAAGTGAAGGAGCAGGCGAGCGGGGCGCGGCTTGGTAACACAGGCAACGACAAAAAGACACGAAACAAAGGGAAGCAGACGAAGGGGACGCTGCTTAGACAAGAATTAGCCAAGGGGAAGGGCCGCCCCCGCTGCACAAAATCAGCCAGGGGCTAGCCGCGTCTCCTTCCGTCACTCCTCAGTCACACACCCCCGCGCCGTTCATGGTCAGACACAGGCGCAAGCGCTCCACCGTCCGGTGAGATGGGCTCATCCAGCGATGGAACACCAAGCAACCGGCAGTCGCGCCGAGCATTGGCAAATGCATGCTCCCAAAAACGACGCGAGACGACGAGCCCGTAAGCAATGAATGAGCAAGAAGCCACCGCAACAAATAACTAAAGCCAGGCGTGGACAATGATGTAAACCCACGCACGCACTGCCTTATTTCAGTACTCAGCCTGTTACTCAGTGTCCGCGAGAAAGTACAAGACAAAAGGCAAGGCGCAAATTAATGACTACCGCGGACCGCTCGGAACACATGGAGGGAACCACCTTTACCTTAAGCCAGCAAGCTCCTATAAATATGACCCCAAAAGGAAAAAACGCTAGCTGTGTGCCTACTCTGCTAGCTGACACCGAAAAAAAAACACAAGCGGTGTCTAGAAGTGGAGGCCAGCGACGGGCTGCGCGCTGCCAATCCCCTACGCCATGGCCATGTGCAGGCGATTCCCCTCATTAAGTCAGAGAGGGAATTAGTGGCCACTGAAAAGCCAAGCGCGGTAGCCGCGTTTTCCCTTCTCACGCTGAAACTAACAAAGACAGGCGTGCCCCATTTACGCTGGAAAACACACCACCTGCTACGGCCGCACTGATTCCCCAAAAGCCAACGAAAAAGCCCGGGCCCCGATCCTGGGCCGGGTGTCAGATCCTGAGGCTGGCAGGTCTGCGATCCTGGAGCGGGTAGAAGATCCAGCGGTGGATCTTCTAACAAAAACGTGCCTGCTGGACTACCGTCGCGCACTCCGATCCAAAAGAACTACAGAAGACAAGAGAAGAGGCGCAGGCCTTTTCTCTTCGAAGTAGGAGCACACGCAGCGAAGCCTTCCACGCTCCTAGGTAAGACGATGGCCAGGCAAAGACTAACCCTGCAGGCTGTTTGGGTCTCAGTAGGCTCCTGGATTCTGCTTGCGCAATTTGTTGGGCAGCCGTCGTCCCGCTCATGCGCATGGGGGCCCTCGGGGTGGTCCATGCAGTGCTGCTGGCTCCGACTAAAATAGTAGAGCTGAAAACTTCAAAGCACTGCACACTTTCGCACCATATCGTGTGGGGCAGGGGAGCAATCATTATAGAATAACCCAGTAGGCGAAGCAGATGCAACGCAAGACCAAGTAAGAAAAACAAACTTGCCGAAGCCAATCAGCCAGCTGGGCGAAACTACAGTAGCTGCAGCATGCTTAGCAACAATATGTGGTCTAGCACTGAGTTACACGGCGACTTCCAGAGAAACTGCGACCACGCAACGAGAGCTGGAAAAAGCGCAGTGACTTCTGTAGCGCGCATGCAGAAACAATCAATGCGGCAGGCACATTCACAACTTTCCCAGACGGACAAAGTGCATCAGGCGCATGTCACTGCCGTCATTGCGCGTTCCTTGTTCCGCTTCCGCTACCTCCGCCTTAGCGGTTTGTCGTATCTCCAAACTTGCTGAAAACCGTGACCACCTTCCCAAAACTAAACGCTTCAACCTGTTACACCTCGCGGGCACCATTCCCCTGTGAAAGTAAAGGACAGCGAACGCCGCTAAGCGATGAGCGGGCGGCCCCTGCCCCAATAAACGGTAGCAACTTCAAACGCCCAGCCCCTTGACAGCACTCCGCGACAGACATTCCTTCTGCCACCACGCTCCCTCGCCGCAAGCTCCTGCGTCAGCGATGCCGATGCACTAGAGCGCTACAGCGGGAACGCATGGCCCGCCTCTCTGGCTCTTGTGTGATTCATTGCAGGCCGCCTCCGGGCTCGACTCCCTCGGCAGCTGCAGCACCTTAGCTGCGCTCCCTCGTTACAGAAATGAACTTGGACTCACTGAAGAGCCCAGACACAAGATACTCACGCACGCCAGAAAGCGCCTCGGAAAACTAACGCGCGCTCGTGGCAGAGTCTCATCACGCCTGCTGCCTTGTGGGTGCGCGATTGCCTCGCCTGTCGGGGCGCTCACGACCGATTTTCTTGCCTACAAATTACGAAGTCAGCACGCGTCGCACAAACTGTCGCGGGGCCGAAGGCTGGAACGCGAAGAAAAATCGCGCAAAAACGAAAGAGACAAGCAAACACATGGCACCATGCCCCGCCCCCCTTACGCTCCGCCAACTATTCCATTTGCAAAGCTGCATACAATTGCAACTGCCTCAGCCTTCCTCGCTGGCCTACGACGGCAGCCCCTGTGGCCGAAGCCTTAAACGCTCCCAAATCCATCCAAGCAAGCCAGTAGTCATGTCTAATGCCAACCATCTGCGCGGGCTGGTGCGCTCGACAGCTCACACCGACCACAGTGGGGCGTGTCTCCGTGGTCATCTCATGAAGGGAAGGAGCGGCCCCGCGCCTCCTGGTGCTATACGTGGTGTGCCTACGGTGACGGGGCTCCCGCCCCCCTGCACGGTGATGGCGATAATGGGGGTGATGAATGGTAACGTTAATGATGGACTTTTAAAAAAGGGCCGACCCCTGACGGCGCTCCGCCTTTGTCCGCGTCCTAGGGTACAGGGCGTTCATCTGATGAGGGACGAAAAACATGCACGCAGACGCTTTGCCCCTCTCAGAAATAAAAGATCATAGCGCCCCCTCCGCTGCAAAGCTCGTCGCATTTTAGTTGAAACAACCCGGGCACCCTCAGCGGGGGATACTCCTATGCCTGAAGACTAGGTCTGTGGCCGTTTTCGCCTGGCGATAGTCGGTGGAGCTTACGTGCCCCAACGTTTGGCACAAAAAATCGAACTCCACTAACTCCAGCGACAAATCAGGGTGCCCCAGTCCGAAGCCGAGCTCGATCATCAGGACTGGCAGCGAGAACGCGGTCGCTGGAGATGAGGCGGAGGACTTCGAGAGAGTTGGAAGAGTACGTCACACCTGTGTAGAAAAAGAAACCCAGTCGGCCCTACACAGTGCATAGGCTGGGGCAACGCAGCTCATTGCCACAATATCAACTATCAGAAAGAAACCATATTTAATGATATTAAGCATCACAGAAAAAATAACACTCCGACGACCATCAAAAAAGGCAAACCTTGCTTCGCGCTTCCGCGCTCTAAATGGTTCTTGTAAAAGCCCAGATCATGACGCAAGGCGCCACGAATGCAATTGCTTCAAAAGTTTCACACACATTCCTTATACTCCGCGCTTTCCATGTCGATTTTGATTACAAGGATGGCGAACTGATCACCCCCCGCAACCACCGAAGAAGTGAGGCCTTCGCCCACGTCGTCGAGCCGCGCCGGGAATTAGATGGCGCATACGAATCAATGGTCACTGATTTGCGGAGAGCGAAGCAAGCCTCGAACTTCGCCACTGAGTTTCTCCTGGTAAAAGATCGCCTACCCTGGTGGGCTCGCTCTGCGAGTAAGTAACAAACCCGGGCAGGCCAATGAGGGAGGCGACACACCCACAGGCGCACAGCAACACGAGACAGGAAGGGAAAGAAAGCAGAGCGCCCTGGGTGGCTGTAGCAGGTGCGCAGGGGCGCCCAGCGATCCCGTGCTTTACTAAATCTTATACGCGCAAAGGCATGAGCAGTGAGTGCCCGCCGTCGTCGGCTTACGCGTTTGCCTTCCTAGTCCCAATCTCAGCGCCATATTGTGCCACCACCACGCCACCTTCTTCACCTTCTTCGCGTCTACGACCAACAAATTTAGCAACGGGGGCTCAGCCTGTCCCAGCTATGAATACCAACACAGCAAACGCGTTTTCCCCGCTGGCTTGGAATCTGCTTGGGCCGGCATGGCTTCTGCGTCATACCGCGCCCAAGCATTCAGCTTAGGCAGCCGAAGAAAGCCGGCGGCCCCTCCTAGGAGATAACAAACACGCGGAGCGGCTTCGCCTTCACTTCGGGAGGGTGTCCGACTCTCGCGAGAGCTCAGAAAGAGCGAGCGACACGCCAAAAGCCCCGCCGCCCGCCCGCTGTGGAGTTTCTGCCAGCTCTCCACACCACAAGCCCGCCAAGACCAGCCGACCCGCGCCGCCCCCGGTTTGCCGCGTTGCTTTGGTTGCCTTTTTGACAAAAGCCTCCCGCCTAACCGAACGCTGTGCAGCGCGGCGTCTCAGCTCGCTCCTGTTTTTCCGCCGCCTCGAAAGTTAGCCAAACAATAACAGCGCCAAGACCCCTCTCCCGCTCTCACATGTTTTTCATTACATTCCTACTCCCACCGCGAGGGCGAAGGGCCATTGCCGACGGGGACCGCCACGGGCAGCTCCCTTGGCACCGCTGCGCAGCCCTCTTCTTTTCTTCCTCCTCCAGCGCACAACCCCATCCACCGAAGGCAGAGGAGATAACCGAGCGCAGGCGCCTGCAGCTCAAGCCTCGCCTTCTTAAAACACTACAGGCGGCAGATGGTTGCGCTTCAGCCAGAAACCCACTAACTGGCGTGGCAGGCGCCTGGTGAGTGGGTGCCACCCCCAGGAAAAGGCAGCCCCGTCAAAACGAAGAAAACACCATCGGCGGGGCCCCGTCGAGACTAATTCAGCCGGCCCTCCCTTGCGTGGGCCGCCAGGTCCGTTTGTCGTCGGTCGGCATACTGTGGCAGCCGGTCTGACATCAATTTCCATCATACGAGGACCAAGCCGCCGCGCCAAGTCAGTGCCTGACGCGAAGGCGAAGCAAAGACTTGAGAGCCGCAGACCTGAAGCCCACAACAGGCAGCAGCTTCAGCCGCGGCCCTCCTACCTCTTCACCTCAATCCACTGGCGCTGCCGAGACCTCTGGCGAAGCGCGGAGGGGCCCGCCGCCAGGTTTGCAAGCGATTCACGCCCGACCCATGCAAAGAAACGCAGCCGGGGGGATGGCTGGCCCTCGCGTGCCTCTTGCCGGCACAGTGGGCGCGGGTGCTTCTGCTTCGTTCGTTTCAATCTGTACGCCTGAGCGCGGTGGCCAAGGCCCGCCCGCGGCGCTTTGCGGGGCCGCTCCTTTGAAATGAGAGAGCTCCCGCTGCCCATCCGTGGCGCCCTGGGGCTGGCCGTGGGTATAAGTTAGTGCAAGCACCCGAAGCACCTAGGGGCAGAGGGCGGGGCGGCAAGGCTTGCGCCGCCTCATCCATGCACGCCGCCCGGTGCCCTGCAAAAAGAGCGGGGGCTGCCTTCAGCCTTTTCTAGTTGGCTGGAAATATTGCCAAACCCAAAGCGGATAAATACGACGAACGCGCAGCAGCACTACAGCACGGGCGCTACTGGGGTTCTTTACTTTCAAGAAGATGCGCGCTCTTGTGGCGCGTCCTTCCTTTGCAGCTAGTTTGCCTCCTTCTTAAAGGTGCAGCAGCCCCCCCCTTGCTGGGTTGCTCCCCTTTATCGCGAAGCAGCTGCGTCAGTGACTGAGCTGCCGTCAGTGACTGAGCCGCAGGTGCGAAAACGCGTCTACGACCGGCAGAAAGAAAACACAACGACCGACGCCGCCCATCCTTTCTGCGTCCCTCTTGTTGATGCGGTCAGCGGTGTTAACTATTTACTACCCTGGCGAGCCTCCTTTCCTTGCGAGGATACTACAAGCGCGCACGCTCGCTCTGCCTCAGTTGCGTCACGATGCTAGGCGCACGCTTTGACTATTTCCGCCCCCCTGCCTAGCCTCATTTCTTCTGCTCTCCCGACCGCGCAACAAGAAAAGAGAAGCCAGCAAGAGGCAGCTGCACCTTCAATTTATTAACTATTTTTAAGCGGAAACATGCCGGCCGGCTTCCGTGCTAGATACCCCTGGCAGCCGACTCGGCATTTTGCAGGGGGAGAGGTAATCAGGGGCGCCCCTTACATGGCTACAAAGCCGGCCGCATCAGCCACGCAAGACTCAGGCTGCCCGATCTCCCAGAATCAGCCCACCACCCGAGGCGGCCCGTAATCCGGCACACCCAACGAGACCAACCAACACCAGGCAAGGCGGGCCCCGCACAAACCGAGTGCGGCCCGGATGACTGCAGCGCGGCCACGCGTCTCGTAGGGCCCTTTCAAACCATCAATCGCGCAGTGCAAAGCCCCGGTGGCATGCCCTCCCAGACACCACGCGGGCGCGCTCCACCACAGAGAAAAGCCCATCCCGTGGACGGCCCTACGAGCAGCACAGCCACCAGAAAAGCCGACGAACACCCCGCCCAACGCGGGTCTGGGAAGAGTCTGCGTGGGCTGCGAAAGCAAGCACAGAAAGACGCGCTTGCTGCCCCTCTACTTGCTGCGGGGCCAAACAAGCCACGCTTTAGTTAAGTTTGATAGGCGTATGGTGCAAGCAAGAGTTAAAATCGGAGAAAGCGACTCGCGGCTCTTCCAAGAAATCCGCAGGGCCTGTCTCTATTCCTTGACCCGTCAACTTCAATGAGACCGCGAAGGCGAGCAGACTGACATGTGCCGACAGCGTACTTGATAGCAGAGAGGCCTTTCTTGAAGTTGTAGCTGGTGTAGGGAAGAGGGGGGCGTGTCGGTGTTCCCGAGTCAGTCACGGCGCTTAACTAAGGAGGTAAAGACAAAGAGAAGCAGAATCATTTTCTGTCGCAGAAGTCGGACAAGAAAATAAGAGCAGTTGGAATGATGTGCGACAAAACACCAGCAGATAAATCGAAGAGTGACCGTTTCTAGTACAGCGACTGTTTCATCTAGCACAGCTGGGGCAGGTTTTAGCACAGAGACAGGCAGCTTGATGACAGAGACAGGTCGTTTTAGTACAGGGCCAGATTTTATTAGTGCAGACGGGGTTTAGTACAGAGATAGCTTGATTGTAGCAGAGAGACAGGTTTTATTAGCATAGAGTCAGGCTCTCGTACAACAGAGACAGACCCATCTCATCTAGTGCGTCCAATGATTGTGTACAGCGACCCGTTTTTCCGAAAATATCATTACAAGGAGCGCCGCTTCAATGTTTGACAGCGCGACTACTCACTGCGCTTTTCTCTGCTATCTCAATCTCTCCAGGGGCGCTCCTTTCAGAGAAGAACATCTTCTGAGATTTCCGCCTCTACAAGCTTTGCTTAAAGAGATTCACAACACTTCTCTTGCACTACACGACGACAAAAGGATTAATCTTCGAAATCTTCTAAAATAATTAAAATCTTCACGACCTCGACCTTTTCCACCTTCAACAACAACATATCTGGACGATAACAAACTCAGTTATGAAACTCAGTTATGAAGAACGCTTCAAGATGAATTGATTGTTGTTGACTGTTTGTCGATGAAACTAACACTTGTTCTGCTTCTCTTGCTCGATCAACATAACTCCTGTAGAAAATTTCGCATCCAGCTTCCTGCTCTTCTTCATGATCCAGCAATTTCTATCGAAGAAGATTCTTGCATATCACCACGAACGCTTTTAGTAGAATATCATAGTTGGTATCTTTAATCACGATTGATGAATAATATTAGTTTTAGGATAATAATGATGGATAATGTTGGATAATGATTCTAACTAGAGAATTTTCTTGTATAATGAATCCTCGAAAAATCCTGCTACTTGCAGATTTTTTCAAGTTAGACTGGACGTCTCTTCAACAAGGCAGTGACACTGTTATAATTCAATTCCCTTTGTCATCTTATTTAGAACGATAGTACTCGTCGTCTAACCGCGCTGGAGAATGAGTTCGCGAACGCAGAGGACCCTTGCCCTTGGTGACACTTCTTTTAATAATAATATCGGGAGTGTCCAGGTACAACCCATGTTGAGATAATATTCTTATACTAATTATTAATTCATAAACATCAATAATAATCATGGAAGTAGTTTGACATTGATATGATCTTGATCTTCTATTTCATCTTGCCCTTGCGGTATAATATTAAGGCCGATTACTAGGATTAAGATTGTGTTCGGTATTTTGCTGATAGAATAAGATTGGTCAATATTCAAGTCACACAACATACAACTAGCATAGCACTTCACTCTTGGTGTCAACATAAGCACGACGACGATGCCGCTCGCAGATGGCGCCACCCACCGGGAGAAGCGACGTCGGACTGCACTATGTGCAACCTATGTGCCACAGGAGACACTATGCGTAACAGGTACACTATGTGCAACAGGCGCATGTGTGGTCCAGGTCGACTTCGAAAGGAGAAGTAGCTATGAAGTCTGATTTTCTGGAATTATGCTCTCAGAATGCTGCTCTCAACTCTCACAGGAGTTGTGTTCGTAAACCAACGGAGCTGTATTTGTAGTAATGCGATGAAGACTGCGAGTTACGAGGTCTAATCAAATAATTCGGTAAATTCAGAATGAACGACATTAAGAAGAAAACCCTTTGTTGATCAGGACGTTCATAGTTGTTGTACTCATAGTTCGTTGGACTGAACAACTTACTTGTTCTTGTGGTCTGGCTTTTTCTGAGTAGACTTGTACTTCTATTATCGGGTCTCGCTCTAATTCATTGGAGACAAAGATTCAATACCTGTAAGCTTTTACGAAGATTAAGATTATTTTCTCGCTATTAACTCTACTTATTAATGTAGTTTTTCTGGGTGTCCCCTACGGGATTCATCGTCCCCTATCTAAGTAGACACAAGCCTTGGCGGTTTAATGTTGATGTTACTCATCATGCTATTAACCACCCTTCATCACCATCTCATCTGTTGCTCTTGTTTCTCTAATATTGTCTATATCTCTATAACTTTAACTCTTGTTGAAAACGAAAACTTCTTACTGTTAACGAAAACTTTTTACTGTCGTTGTGAACGTTAAAAAGAACGATATTTCATAGTGAGCAATTCATGTATTAGTTCTAGTTCAACAAATCTACTAGTAGGAGCAGGACTAGCAGGAGGTACTAGTTACTCCTCTTGTTGTTAATAGAATTATCCTGGGTGATTTTTCATTATACAACTTCTACACATTCTACTTTTGTTTCATCAAGAGACTATAATAATTCTTCATCAGGATTTTGATGATCGTTGTACAACCTATCCTCTTGTCAGAAAACACAACATCATCTTTGGACCAGCTGGATGTCAGCTTCTCGAAGCAGCCGCTCCAATAACGGCATCCAAGCAGCGGCTTCCTCTGATTCCACGTCTAACGTCGTGGTCAGCGAGCCTGTAGACGGCGCAGATGTGGACATAGTAGAGCTAGAAGAAGTTGAGTTGTTCTCTCCACGAGGACTACTGTTCTTTCCACGAGGACTACTGTTCTTTCCATGGACAGGGTCTTCTACTTCTCGTGAAGGGTCCTCGTGTTCTAGTTCCGTCTTCACGTCTTCGAGTAAACGGACGAGTCGAGTCTTCAGACTCTTGTCGTCTGCATCCACGGTAGTTGCAAGGTTTGAAATCTTTGCTTCCAAACTTCCTGCTGCAACTGAAGAAGTCTTTGTCTCTAGATTTTGGAGTCCCAGAGTGAGAACCGCGATCAAGTCCTTCAAGTTGAGCACCTTGTAGCCACTCGGGGCTTGCGATACTAGTGCTGGCAGAACCGTTTCCACCTCCTGAGCAACGAAACCGAAGCGCGATAACTTGCTCTCCACACCATCTTTGTAGTGGAAGCTCACAGGTCTCAGCTTGCGAATCAACAAAATTCCTACCTCATCTTCTGCATCGGACGAAGAAATAACCTGGTCAAAGTGGTGTTGGTCACGATTCTATGAGGAGTATGGGATCATTAGGAGAGCAGCAGAAGGCCTGATGATATTTGTTTCTGCTTGTTCCTTTTCATTATGAGTCCTCACAAGAATATTTGATGATGATGATTTAGATTTCTGCTCATCTAATATTCGACCACGAGTTCTATACAATAGTACAGCAAGTAGCAGTAGAAGTTGTATCTATGTATAAGTAGTACCTCCTCCGGGTCTCTCGTCTTTGTGCTATTTGCCGATGTAGTTGCCGCATGTTGGTGTACTTGCGTCGTTTTACTTCTACTTGTCAGCACGCCGCCTCTACTACTTGTTCCCTGCAACTCCTGCAGTTCGCGGAAAAGCGGCTTGATGTTTTGCTTGAGCCTGCGATCGGAGGTCGTGAGAGAATTCTCCACTGTCCACGTGCCCTTCAGGTGGCCCCATGCGCCAGTGACTGCACTGGCCGTGCCCGTGGGAGTTCCACTCCCATACTCCATCGCGATCGCGACGTCGTTGCCGCTGTTAACCAGCAGCTTCAACGCTGGTGCCGAACTTTCGTCCGTCAACGTGTGCAGCGCGTTGTTCTCGCTGGCGCCGGACTGAGACGAGTAGCGGATCTTGTTGTCGCCAATGTACACTTCGCGCACGTTCGCGGTAAGGCCGAGGCGAACGGAGCTCTGCGCCGACAGGCTCGAGCCCAGCCGCAGGAAGGACCGCAGACTAATCCCGCTGCCCACATTGACGAAGTCCAACACGGACGCGCGCGACGCGACGCCGAACCTTCGTCCTCTCGTGGACAGCGAGCTGCCTAAGGAAAGGTGATCCAGGACACTGAGTCGCGAACCGAGCTTGCAGAAGCTTCTGATGCTCAACGAGGAGGCCAACGTCGACAGCGCGTGGAGCGACAGAGAACCGCCAGCCCGCACGTTGCCGTAGAAGGAGCAACTGCTGCCCACCCTCGCCATCCCGCGGACCGAAAAGGAACTGCCGATCTGCAAGAAATTGAAGACACTGCAACCGCGAAGACCCGGCAACGAAGCGTGGGAGCGCAAGGACAAAGTGCTGCCTAATTGCGCGAAGCCCAAGACACTAGTAAGTTGTCTATCCGCGGAACCAGCAGTACCGCATCTCACGGAAGACGCCACGCTGACGCTGGAACTCAACCTGGTAGTTCGAGGAAAGAGGAACATGCCAAGATTTTTTTTTACTTATCCAAAGAGTTTAAAGCATTGATTTTCACGATCTTGATCATGATGTTGAGAAGCTCACAGTATTCCCCAATAAAGGGAGGAAATAAAGGAAGGATGTGCTGGTGGTTGTACTACAAACCCGGACTAATGCAATAGTAGATGAGATTGAGAACATTTTGATTATTTTTTGTAGAACAAGAAGTTGATGACTTATTCTAAATTACTAGTATTCAATTTTTATTGTGAACTCCAACTACTCTTCGGTAACAAAAACCTTCTAAAATAAATTGAAGTACCTGACAATGGCTCTCATAGAGACAGTTGAGCCAAGATGCACATGCTCTAGGACACTGCATGTCGACCGACACCGTCCGAAGGAGCGGACGGAAAGAGAACTTCCCAACTTGGTGAACTGCGCGACTGACAAATCCGCTACACGTGGCAGTAATGGGCTCCCAGATACCTATGGTGAAGATTAAATGACAAATTGATATGTGCTGTGGGCCACCTAGTATCTGTCATGAAATGAAGATCGATGTAAATTATACACTTAGTTGTTAGTGCAGGCACTACTTACAACTAACTTGCCGTTGCAACTTTCAGAATATCCAAAAAAATACCGAGACACTGCTGCCGAGTCGGACGAATTGGCGGATGGAGACACTGCTTCCGATATTGAGGAGGTCAAATACGCTCACGCGATGGCGCAGACGACCTGGTGAGGATGATCATGTGCATGTACTTGTTGTACCAAAGGTTTATGAAGATAATCGATTATAGAAGTAGTTCTCGAATAGAAGTAGTTCTCGATAGAAGTTCTTGTTGTTGTGCGTGTACTTGTTGTGTCTCCAATTACTAATGAATGGAAGTTCATCAAAGTTGTTGCTGTAGCAATGAAATCATATTGGCATCATCATGATAGTAGTACTAAGTGTAGAAGTAGTAAGAAATAATAGTAGTAAGTATCAAATAGTTGCGGTGGAGCGGACATAAGTAGAAAAAGCAAAGTAGTAAGTAACTAACAGTACTAAAAGTAAGTAACAATCATACCAGGTCCACGTATTGATAAGGATGAGCTGAGCCGAACTTGATCGACGATGCTGATGGCGCCTCCTTGCTGGAAGTTGCCGCGAACGCTGATAGAACTTCCTAACCGTGAACATGCTCTCAACGAAACGCTGGAACCTGTGTTGTATATTATGATGAAGAAACAAATGGAGCCAAATAAAGTGAGATGGAGATGAATGAAAAACTTATTGATTTCAAGAAAGGGGACTAATTCTAATCTTCAAGTAAATCAACGGGCGAACACGACGGAAGTTGTGATGTGGGGACAAGCAAGTTGTACCCATTTGTCGAAGAAACATAAATTGCACCTAAGTGTTGTAGAAGAGCCGTAAGTTCTTTTACCTAAGTGTAGGAGATCCAGGACGGATGTTCGTGTGCCGATTCTCGACGCTGATCTCACTGAGAGTGAGCTTCCAATTTCCACTGTATCCAAAACTGATATTCTGCGTCCAATATTCGCGTTGCCTGATGTTGGAGATGGTAGGACACATAGCAATAGATTTAGATGCCCTACAAGTACAAGTAATA